TGTGCGGAACAGTATCGGGAGCCTATCATGTGCAAAGGAGCGTTCAAAACTGGGCTTTCCCGTTTACACATCCCATGGTGAGCAACCTCACGACGAACCAAGACCAGCTTGATTGAGCTTCTCTAGGCAGTATGCGTACGGGCGCTCTTCGGCCAGGCACCTGAAGGGTACCCAAGGTCTCCAAGGCTCAGTGTTCAGGCTTACCGGCAACCCTGAAGCGATGAAGTGCAGATAGGGGCTGAACATGCCGGGTTTCGGGGTTCGCGACAATGTTCTCAACAGATGCCTTCTCTGTCACTGACAACAAAGGCTTGAAAGCAGATGGAATTATGCCGGTGCATATCTGCTAGGCTCGGGTGGGCAGGTTTGGACCGAAAGTCGAGCTTTACGCAGTCACTTGTTGCAATCCATATTGCTCCCCGAGCTGCTGCCGTTTATGACCCTGTTATGTACTACATTATACCGCTAGGTGTTATGACTAGTCCTCACGTTGGAGCTCCAGCTTGAAACCCGAAAACCTCATGAAGCCATGACTGCAAACACAAACCCTCCACTGCTTCCCGAAGCCCCGAGCCACCAGAATCTTTTTTGCGTATAGGGATAAGCGTCAATTAATTAAGGAAAAGGTTGGGAAATTGCGTCTCCCAGAAGGATAAGGTCTTACCCATACACGAAGTTGTGCTTCGGTGCTCAACAGCCAGAGAAGTGTTTCCCTTCGCCGCTAAACCTTGCCGTTAGGGTACCAATTTCTAGATTGAACTGCCAATACAAGCTTTTAGCGAAGACCCCCCAAACCCTCGACCCTGAACCCTCATCATGTAGGACCGAGTTGGAGCGGTTGCAGTTTTGAGTTTTGGACCTGGCAGCCAACTCCAAAATCCCGCTTGTTCAAATCCCCAACGTAGGAGCATTGAGGATCCTACATCCGAAACTAAGAATAGAGGAAAAGGGACTATGCTGTAGAACCCTATCTAGGCAGCAATATGTAACGACCCCTAGGTCCCTAAGTAGGGTACCCCTTTTTCCTGTGGGACGGCTTAGGTCGCAGTTCCGGTCCTCTCCCTCTCACCCAGACCTCTGAGAAATGCAGAGCCAGAAGATGCCAGAAGCAGACAGAAGATCTTAAAGCCCTGTGGGCGAAGCTAGGCTCGAAAAGGAAGCCCCGCTGGCTTGTAGCTGAGTTGGAGACCTTGTGGTTGCGTCTTGGCTCTGGCGTGTGAGATCTGGTTACAAATACGACAAGGGCACACGGTTGACTTCTGACTGCAGGCGTGCCGGCACATGTTTCAATAGATCATTGGTGTAACAGGTGCGAGAGACTGAATTGACAGTACTTTTTTTTGCCTACAGCCGCAAACCTTCGTGAACCGGTCTGCACGCACCTGTTGCCTTGGGTCGGCATTTCTTGCGAAGAAACTTCAACTAAGCCACAAACCTCAGTCCTACTTCATTCAACCTGTTTGATAGACGATGTCGGCTGCAGAGTCTATTCAAACTACGCGGCCTTAAGCACCGAGACAGCTGCACGTTCTATAACCTTCAAGTTACGTGCGGACTTTCCCTGTAACACCCTCCAGACACCCCAACGACGTGCTCAGTTCTTCCGCTCACACCGGGAAGAAGACGCGATTCCCATAGACTGGTGAACTTGGAATAACCTTCAGATTCATAGCTTGGCCTGTACCGGCTCAGACTTAATTCAAAGTCTTCAAGTTGAAGGGTTGGACCGCAGTCTCACAGACATGAGTGTCAGGGTTTTTGAAAACTTAGGTGGCTCGGGGAGTCATCGCACCTTAAGCATATTTACGTATAGCAACTTTCAAACCAAAAAAAGGGCAACTGACGCATCCCCGAACTTTCAAACCAAAAGGAGCAACTGACACATCCTCAACACCCCAACTGCTAGACCCAAACTCCGAGACGAGCATGTCCCTCATCTTGAAAGCCCTGCCGGGATTAGAATCCGAAATTTATTCGCAAGGATAACATACTAGTAAACCCTTTTCAGCACGGACTGAAGTGCCGGCTACTAGTAAACCCTAACCCTAAACCCTAAGAGTCCTTGCAGAGATAATGTTCGACTGCATTCGGAGAAGTATTTGCCGGAAGCCCCAGCTTCACAATTTTTGTTGGGGCTCCTTTCTCTTTTGGACTTGGGATTTGAAGGCTCCTTCTTTAAGTAGATATGTATATATACATATATATATATATATATATATATATATATATATATATATCACATCATGTCTACATATGCATATGTATATAATTATACATATATATATATATATATGGTATACATATATATATATATATATATATATATATATATATATATACAAAAATAGCCTTATAGGGCGCTTCTGCACTCTGCTGGAACGTTTCGCGTCTAAGCCCCGGCAGCCGGACGGAACCGCGCAATCTGGCAGACAGTTCATGCCGGCTCTTCTAGGGAATCTTCACATTTGGGTTTGGGGACTTGGTGTTAAGTTTTCAAGATCCCAAAACCCTAAACATCTAAACACTTGGGGACTACTCCGTGGAATGGAGGAGTTAGTTGAGTCCATGGCATCATGATGGATCCTGACATTTCGGTTCTAGGTGTGGCGGTCCGGGAATGCAGTTACTCAAGAGTTCCTGCGGCTTGATGGACGGATTTGGTCTGTGGAGCACAAAGGTAGCAGTCTTTTGAGGCGCAGTCAGGGAGGGTCCCAATGAAGAGCCATTAGGAGAGCTGGACGAAAACATCAGGAATATCGACGGTTGGGTTGCACCTGCAGAGTGCCTTGACAAGCTGTGGACTTTTGGCAACAGAGCGAAGCTTACAGATCACCCAGCATATGATACAAGTCTAACGGCTAGCACAAAACAGAATGACGGTCAATTACATAAATGACAACCGTCACATAGTGTTTTCCCAGAATGCCGTCTTCATATTTCCACAACCTCTCAGCCCAAGTTAAGCTAACCACGGTGTCGACCAAACCGTCAGCATGAGCACTCGGTAAAGTGCGCGAGTGGGTTTAACATGAAATGTGAACGCACCGCTTGCAAGGTACGTTGTTTCAAGCAAAGCGAGAACCGTGTGTAAAAGCGGTGTTTACCACACAGGAATGGCCATGCACGGTGCGCCTAATTAATGGAGACAGTAGAGCTAGACTTCAGTAGAAAAACAATGTCAGACTGGGCGTTGCAGCTGCGCCTGACGGCTAGGTATTGACAGCGAATAGGTCCAAAAAAGCCCATCTGAACCGATGAGATGCTCCAGCCATCAGCCAGTCACACCTCCAGACTACTGCGCAATGACAATCGATGAGCATCAGCTGCATAGGGGTTGAAAGCCCGATGACCTTGGTGCTTTGCGCGGCATCTTGGGAGGTCAAGGAGTTGGACGCTCGCGGTTCTACAAGGTCAAGTGTGCCCGATCTCGCAGAGCAGGAGTTAGGTGCCAAACGGGCGGCATGATACTCGACCAATACACTTCCCAAGGTTGGGAGTTGAAGTTTAAGCATCCATGAGCTCGGAAAGCTGCAGTTGCTTCCCAGAACTTCAGCAAGCCAATGCATCGAACACCACTTTGAACATGTTTCGGCGGGGTTGAGGAAAAACAGCCGCTGCTGTCAAAACGATTACGTCGATGAGTGTCAAGTTTTCCATGCGTGTCGCCACTCAGCACAGTCCAATCCTCAACCGTCTTAAACTTGATTCACGCATTCGGGTGCAGGCCCTGATTCTAGTGCTAAAGCACCGATACACAGGCCAAAGACATGTCTGAGGCTTCTCCCCGCACGGCTACAAGCGAAAATCCGTGCCTTTTTACATCTGGACTTGATGAATGCCGAAAGTCCATGCCTTGCAACACAAACAGGGCTACCTGCCAAACCACTACAACCTCTTTCAACTTCTGCTTTTCAGCTGATCTGTTTGGCACAAGCAAGATCTGGTCTCATAGCGTTTCGTCTGTCTAGATCTACGATTAAGGGCGCCACTCTCGAATCGTAAAGCCTCAGCCGTAAATCTGGAGCACAATGCAATCCCCAAATCCCCAAAACCCCTCCAACCTTGTGCTACATGTTTAAACACCGAAACCGTCGAACTCCACACTCCTTGGGAGGGTGGCTATAAGTCTCGCATAGTCTCGCGTAGATTTGACTCCAAGGCCGGACGCCTGGACGGCTGAAGGCTTGGACCCCCACACTCGCACCAGGCAGGCAGGGCTCAAGGCACACGGCTTAAGATCGGACTCTGCCAGACGAGGTCTCTCGGTTCGGAAGTGCTTTGACTGACAATCAGTTGAACACCACTGGGAAAAGGTCGAAGTTTATGGTTTGGAGTTTAGGGACTTGTAGCATGAACCGGTACAGTCATGCCGATTCTGGCAACCATGAGCATCTGCTACCTCAACACGGTTGTGCTTCTCCACACCGAAAGCGCTTCGGGTGTTGAGCTTAGGGACCGTGTTTTTGAACTCGCGGGGAGGCCTAAACTCCGGACACCTTTTTGCAAACTTTGCAAGCTGTGGGCCGGCTGGCTTGGAGTTTCGGAACTTCCCTTCTCCTCTATCGCAGGCAAGAGAAAGTAGTGGGAGTAAATGCTCAGCGATAGCAGCGGGCGTGCTTATGTTGCCAGTCGTACCAGTACCAGCGCTGTCGAGATGGATACATGTCTTCATTGCAACAACACTCATATTTCTTAGGAATTTCTTGTTTGGCTGTTTAGGGGTTCAGGACAGCGGTAGTGAGAAAGAGAAAGAACACCTCCCAAACTTCAGATCAAACACTTGCTGGACTGGCTTGTTCTCGCACTGCTAGGCTTTACCCCTATACCCCCTTATAGAGGTCCATCGTGCTGTTTTGGGGCTTAGTCCTCCGGACTTGCACATGGAGGGGGGGTGACGGATCTCTCGTCGCATGTTCATCAGGGATTCCTCACTTATTTCGAGGGTTTGGGAGTCGTGAGGCACCAAATCCACAAGCACACTTCGCCTCTGGATCCGCGGGCTAGGCTATCCTTGAGGGTAAAGCCGGCCTCGTGAGTGGGCCGTCCTGACACTGCCATCCATAGACTTTGGCATCGTGAGGATCATCCTCCGCCTGCTGAGCCTCCTGATCCTCAATGCAACAGGCTCAGGACTTGAAGCTTCACGGGTAAAAGAGGTTAGAGATGTGCTCTGTTTCCGCTTCAGGCTTCGAGTCCCTCGGGTCATGGGATCCGCAGACAAGGCAGAGAACCCTCCGCTTCACTTGTCACTAACGAGCGACGCCAACAATCCACTGATGGTGTTACATGCAGGAACCCTAAATCCCTTCACGGCCCTTTCCAAGAAGGCTCGCCAAGCAGCCGACTTTGGTGTCCTGCGATTCTTTCTGACACCACTCCATCTTTTGGCTTGACACCATCCTGCCACTTCCTTGCGATGTCCGTCTGATAAGGCATTTGTTTGGCTTCGCGGCTATCTGAAGCCTTGTACCCGCTAGTTGAACCATTACAGACGCACACTACGAGCTAGACGCTCGCTATACATGTGCAGTTAGCGCTGTACTTTACATGAGAGCAGCACTCAGCGATAATATTGCTGGGTGTGCGTGAAAACAGTTCGTACAAAGCAGTTCGGGCTTGAGGCTTGCGGATTTTGCGGCCTGGGATCTAGGGCAATTTAGGGTTTTGGAACACAGGGACTTGAATTCACAAAGTCGAAGCATCCGAAAAGACTGGCTGGCAGCGTTTCGACTCTCGCAGCTGTAGCTAAAGTCTAAGGTGGCTTTCGTCTGTTCTTCAGCCTAGGCTGGCTCCCTATGCCTTTCTTCCTTGTTGACAGTTCAATGAATTTCTCTCGACTTGCGAGGATTTCCTTTTTGTAGCGTCTGAAGTGTAGCAGGCTACCAAGGACCTAGAGTTCGACTGGCTGCCGCAAGCCGCTTTTAGCCGGACGATCGAAACTATTGGGCGCGGTTGGGAGTGTGGCCGTGCGTCTACAAAGGATCCAACACCAGACATGCCGAGCGGCACAGATTCGCTAAACCCTAAAGCCCACCCCAACCAGTCTAGCTGCTGGAAACAATCACAATTGAACCGTGACATCGATGAAGCACGGCACACATCATCTCAAGCCTTGCTTCTCGCGAGTGTTTCACCGCAAAGGGTTGTGGCAATCTCATTTCTTTAAAGAACCTTGCTTCCATGGCTCCTGCGTTATCGGCACCTCGGCAGGTGTCGGAATGGGGAAGTCCGCGTTGTCGTTGCGCACACGCCTGCAGATCCAGACTAGGGTCTTGAGCCCAGAAATCTCTTCGGACTGACTACTTTATGTATCTGACTCTTCGCAACTCTTCGCAAAATGCAGGGCTCAAGCAAGCGAGGCAAAATCTTTGGTCTCGGTGGGGCGTAGATTCACGTGCCTGTATTCGATGTGGCACGGTGATGCACACGCTGCGTTTGGTCAGATAATTAAATTACCTGCAGTCTCAGGCATGTCGAGGCTGGAGCGATATGAACAACACGAGGTGAATGAAGAGATGCGACGGCTTGCAGCACATGCCGAGAAGCTGCCTGCCCTGCTTTTGTTTCTCGGAGGCGGTATTCTACTTTGTGAACCTCCATTTAACCGTCATCTCACGCGTGCAGCCGTAACACCACATGCCAAGCTGAAAACTTTCGAAACATTTGCTGGTAAAGACCTGGACAACCGTTTCTGCGGTCAGTAGCCTTCCGCCTTCTGAGTGAAGAACACGAAGACACCGATCAACAGAGGCCAGAATGCTAGCGACGAATGCAACACCAAGTCTGTTGAGCTTGCCAGCAGATGACAAAGCGAGAAGACAAAACTCGGGGCAAGTGAGCCAGGCATCTAAACACGCTAATCAGTAGCCATCAACAATCAAAACTGATTCTGCTCCCACTATCTAAGTATGCAGGGGTTTTGAATTATTTTGTCGATGCTCCGTGCAGACAACAGCAGGTGCTTGCTGCGGTGCGACAGCACATCCCCACCTGAACAGCCACAAGCTTCTGAGTTTGTTTTCTTCTGTTCTGAAGTTCTCCTGCTTCCACACCAGCGTCCAAGCATAGATATTCCTGCAGGAGATGAACAAACTCGCCTCAGCCCCGACCGAAGCGGTCAGAGGTTCCTCTACGGATTTCCCTCTATTCCGCACCTCTTAATCCCCTCGCCACTGACCCCGCACCCAGAAAAGCGTGCACCTGACACCCCTTGCCCCTCTCTCTGAACCGATGAACTTGCCCAAGTTTTCTTGGGACTTGAGCCAAATCCTCTCACCCCACCCCCCACCCGCTCCCCCCTCCATCCCCCCCCGCCACTGAAGAGTTTGGGTCTACTCCAGGTTCTAGGGTTAGGGGTTTGAGTCTAGGCCAAAGATACTGAAAGTAACAAAGTATCGCGCTTCTGTGCAGAGGACTTGCGCAAAAGCAATCCCCTGAACACTTTGACTGCTGGATTTTGGCACTTGCAAGATCTCGGCTCAAGAATTTTGTTGAGCAAGGCAACTTTTCACGGGGCAGCGATGCAGGCTCCGGATGCTTACCTTAGACAAACACCTCCAACCAATTCGGCACATACGCGTGCAGATAGGCCGAGGCGGGCGACGCGAAGCGTTTAAAACTAGAAAACCAAGTTCAGAGCAACCACTTGCATCCATGAGACTGCACGGTCGTTTCAATCCAGCGAAACGATCTATTGAAGACGTGGGAACAACAACCCTGAACCAAGAAGTGCTTCAACTTAAACCCTCACAAGAAACCAGGCAACGACCAACAGAAACCGCAACCGCGATTCAGCCCTACACACACACACAAACAGACACAAACACAGACACATCCACAGAGCTTTCGTGCCTGGACAGGCCTGAGACAACACCGGTGATCGGCTCGCAACAGAGGGCATCGACCTTGTTGAAGCCTGGCGGTTTCCAGCTGGGATTCGGAGAGCTGAGGTTTAGAGATCCGCAGTTCAGTAAGCCCAGGGCTGAGGGTTTTTTACTGCTCGGGGCTCTTACCTGCGGGACTCGAGTTTGGGGTTGAACCGGAGGTGCATGAGGCTCAGGCCGTGGGGTCTGAGCTTAGTAGCTTCCGGCTTCTTAAGCTCAGGCACCCCTCCAACTCAAACCTTGGGGCGGTAAACCTCTGGCAGCACTGGTCTCAAGCAATATAGGGGCCTGAATAATCAGAATAGGGTTTTGGGGCCCATTATACTATGAATATATTAAGTAAGGAACCTAAACAAGTATTTAGGTCCCTGTCTTATGGACATGGTGGCTGGGCCAAACTGTGGCCGGCGTGCCCGTGTCTAGCTGCACGGCACGATGATACTTTCACTGTGACGGTTACCTTTCGGTGTTGGCTTCGTCATCTAAGATAAGGGTCGCAACCAGTGCAAACATGTTCTTGTGGCAACTAGTGGTGTGAAGTCTCTGTATGTGTAAAGTGCCACATCTGTCTATTCGCATGTGTGCAGATTTCTGCATCAATCAATCATCTCCTCCGACGCACGGAAGACCCTGCACGGAAGTCCCCTTCTCGCAACTCCAGCAAACGAGTTGGCCGACAGGTTTTCGCGAATTAAGAAACGTCAGGCCAGAAGCGGAAACTGCCCAAGCCAAGCGAGAGGACAAAGCTTGAATTGCGAGTGCTCAACTTAAGCCCGTGCGTGCTGCGCAAGTCTGAGTTCAGGCACCTGGCACCTGTTTCCCAGAAACGGCTGCCACGAAGGAGCGTGCATCGATGCCCGCAGCAAAGCCTTTATCTACGGGGCGAACAGTTGGGCTTGTGGGTCTGGGCACTCTACCTTAACCCGACTCGGTGAGTGTTGGAGTTGCGGGAGACAGCGAAAATAGTGCAGACACACGTGACCATCGGACCGAGTCGGAAGGTCCATGGGCTGTTTCAGAATCTCTGCAGACCTTTCACAGGACTTGTTTGAAGAAGGCTTCCATGGAACCTGGCTCATGTGGATGTGATTATCAGCTCTCGGGGACGCTATACACAAACCTGGAACCATTCAGCTTGAAATCAGATGCTAAAGACAGATGTAGGACCTAGGACCTCGCAGCCCTCACCTTGAACCGAAATACGCTCAGCTGGCCTACCTCCGCGTCCGCAACTAAGGGCTCCCCAATGTCACGACCCTGCTCAGTCATTCTTCCGCAGTTGGGCTTGACTGAAGCTGCCGCTTGAATGCTCACTGACTGCTGATTCTTTCTTCCACTTGACCCTGCGCTCTAAACTCAGGGAACGGCTTCCCCACTACTATTTCGGTGTTCCCAATCGCATGCCCTAAATGCTATCGCTCTTGTTTTCACTGTCTCTATCTCTCTCTCTCTCTCTCTCTGTCGCTCTCGTGGTCTTGTCTCTTTCTGTATCTCCGTCTCTTCCCCTTTCTGTTTCTGCCTCTCTCTCTCTCTCTCTCTCTCTTTCTGTTGCTCTCTCTTTCTCTCTCTCTCTCTCCCTACTCCTTGGCCTCGCTTCATTTCCCTCTGCAGCGTACTTCAATCTGGCCAGATCGGGGTTCGGCAAGCATGTTACAGTAGCATTCGGCAGCTCTTAGGCAAGGTCGAATGCTTTTAAACAGTCATCGGTGCTATTCATCGGGACGGGTGGGTTTAAACAGACGATACATCATGATATATCGTCTGCGATGGCAGATCTACAGTAGTGCTTTGGCGTGCTTCAAAAGAAGGCTGGCCAATGTTCATGCATGGGAGGAGCGGGCTTTAGTTCCAGTCCAGAGTTTGGTCTCGATGCCAAGCGGGTATGAGCACTCGGATCAAGTGGCTGATGTGTGCATAGCCACGGCTCTTTCCGTTCCTCGGCCAGCAGCGGGCTGGAAGTTACGTGCAATATATAGCATAGAGAGTAAGGCTTCCCCTTAGCTGCAGCAGGCCCTACACGAAAGTACAGCACGTCATGAGCCACAGGTGACCCAGCAAGCACGCACAAGGTACCCATAGGCCCCATAGTATATAGTTTCTTTTTAGGGTTCATATATAGAATCTTATAAGGTAATCCCAAAAGGAACCACTAAGGGGCCTATGGGTAGTCCATGGTAGTCCCGTCCAACGCAAGTCGACAATATCACTCTTCCGACTTTGGGCTCCCGCATTGCAAGCCACGGCCAGCGCAGTTTGGTTCGAGTAGCGGTTAGAGTTGGTCCAAAACGTAGGGTTGAAGGGCCAGTCAAAGAAGATATGCTTGAGGGCCTTGAAGGCTCTAACAAGAATGAGAAGCCAATCGAAAGCCCAAACATCAGCCCAAAAGAGTCCAACTAGGGGTTGAGCTAGAGGGCTTTAATTTCGGGCATTGGGTTTTTTTCGATATTGGGGTATTATGCTCTCGCAACTCGGACACGTCAAGCCCTTCAGGGAGCAATTTAACCGCATGCTTTTGGGGCTTCCTTTTTGTTCTTAAACCCTGTGTTGGTTGCTTTGTTCAGAACGCTCCTGCTCAGTCCTTCTTGCAGTCCTGTACCGACCCGAGAGACCTCGTCTGGCATTTAATGCGCTTCCTGAAGTGCCAGGGTGAATGTCCCTGGGACGCCGCATAATTAGCTGAGTAGGGGTATGGCGTATGTGATCACGAAGCGGCCAAACTCTTAACGCACTTTCCACATGGTGCACATGCTGTGCTCCAACATGTTCCAATCTACATACTCTAGTGCCTTAAGAATCAATCGACTTAAGCCGAGTTGTGGGTTCTTTGTGCTATCATTGTACTATAATCGGGACTACGCGTAGAAATTACTATCAACTCTTCAGTCCTCCGCACAGTCCCGACGATGGTCCAGGCAAGGCTCGGATGGCGAGCCACCACTGCTTTGAAGCCATCCAGGTCAAGACCATGCAGGAACTTCGTCAAAGCCCTGATGTTCGGTTTAGGGTGGAGGGCTGGTGATAAGTTTATCGCTCAACATTTCTTGCCTCCCACCTAGCTAGGACGAGCGCGCCTTGCAGGGTTGAGTCTCAGTACAGTTGTACGGTAAGGCACGTCGATGATGGAAGTCTTGACGAGAAAACCGTCCTGAAGCTATTTTCGGGCTGTGGGTCGGTTGAAAATCGAACAATAGTCCAACAATCCTCGAGTTAAGAGCTTGCAACCATATCCGTCCCCGTGACACACGCTCTACCGCATGCGTTAAAAGTTTCCACTGTGCTCGGTTGCGGCCTGTTTCATAATTGCGCTCTTGGCAAGAGGAGTTGCGCAACGGAAATACTGAAGGCGAAGTGAAGCCCAAACCATGACAAACTCGTGTCAACTAGACTAGAGTATTGGGGACTCTGTGTGCAATTTGAAACGGCCCGCGGAGAGCCGATTTTTGAGACGCACCTTTGCACTCGCTACATCCCCTCTGCTCAAGCCCGAACTCAACTGCTTGAACCCGACAGTTCCTTCGCTAGAGCCTTGTGCGGTCGAGACACATGTGCGTGCACTTGGCAGGGATGTTTCGTAGGAAAACACCTGATGCCTCTGCATCAACGCAGTGGGCCAGAATCCGACCAACACTGGGTCCAATTGACATGCTGTTTGTTAATATATATCTCTCTCTCTCTCTATCTCTCTCAATACATCTATTAATAGATATATGTATATACATATCACACACACACACACAGTACACAGTGTCAAGTTTTGGACAATGCCACTATGAACGCTATTACCAATTATCTCTCTGAAAGTGCAGAGCAGGAAGCCTCGAGCACCGTCTACGGAATCAGACGACTGAAGCTCGTGGGTCCAACTCTTCCCACTCTCTCCCTTGAACACCCAAGCACTTCGAGAAACAACGCAGCAGTTTCGCATCAGTCCCCCAGCCCCTTCATGGGCCCTGAAGCTCATCGGGTGTAGAGTCCGGGTTTTGCAGTACTGTTCATAAACGGGCACTCATAGAGATTAAGATTGATGGGGACCTGGGGCTCGGACTTAGAAGTTTGAGCTGAAGCGCCCTTCTTTGCTGTAATTTAAACGTAAACCGTGTCCAAGGCAGAGTTTCTTGCGTGAGGCACCTACTTTCGGAGCATGGGACTTGAGAAGAACACAGGTTTGCTTGAATCAGAATCCGGAACTCTGTCATGCTCTACTCGGTGCCCAGGAAACCAACGGGTCACATAAAAGCCCAAAAACTAGTGAAGTAGTGTAGGCAGACGTTACGACCCATACCCGGACTTACCCTATTGAGCTGACCGAACAAGCAAAGCCGGAATTGCAACTGCTACTGCTGCTGCAGCTACTGCTACTACCACTACCACTACCACTACCACTACCACTACTACTACTACTACTACTGCTGCTACTACTACTACTACTACTACTACTACTACTACTTCTACTATGACTACTACAACGACGACGACTACTACCCCGACTCCTACTCCGGCTCCTCCTCCTGCTGCTGCGACTACCACTACGACTACGACTACTACTATTCAAACCTCTCTCTCTCTCTCTCACACGGACTCGAGTCGATCATGCCGCGAAGAAGCAAGCCGCTATGTCGTTGTTCGACACAACAAAACCACCACAGGCCTAAAGACTCTGCACACGATTGACCCAAGTAGGCGGGACTTGCTCAAACAAAAGAATGGGAAGCTGTGTGAACACTCTGCCTTGCAACGACGTGTGCCAAAAAAGGTTCGAGAATCGAAGCCAAACGCCCGAATCCTCAAGTCTAACGAAGGCACCGTGTCCCAGGCAGCATCGTCTGCCGGAAGCCCATGCGGTTGAGACATGCACACCCGTCGGAGGAACCCAAGACCCCAAAACCCACAGCCCAAAACTTCCTGAAACTGAATCCTAGACCCCCACAAGCCCGACGCACAAAACCTCAAAAACCTGAAACCCCCAAAATTTGTTCTGGGGGTGGAGAGGAGGAGCTAGCAAACCAGCCGAATTCTCAAGCCATTCGGCAGGGCATGCTGTTCGAGCCGAAATCAGCAGAAAGCTCGAGCTTCCGGGTTGGGCGTAGACATCCAAAGATCTGCGCAACCCTCACTTCAGAAGATAAGCAAACTTCTATACACCGAAAGTGTAGAGGGAGTGGCAGCAGGAATAACTGGGAGGTAGCACTGGTGGTGTTGGTGGTGGTGGCCGTGGCAACAGTAGCGGTAGTAGCAGCTGTCGTCGTCGTTGTCATCGCAGTAGCAGTAGTATTCGTAGCAGCAGTAGTAGCAGAAGAAGTAATGGTAGTAGTAGTCGTCGTAGTAGTCGTGGTGGTGATGGTGGTGGTAGTGGCAGTGAAGGTGGCAGTGGTAGTGGTAGTGGTCGTGGTAGTGGTAGTAGGTGGTGGCAGTAGAAGAAGTGGTCGTGGTAGTGGTAGTTGTTGTTGACAGCAGTAGGTCCCTGCGTACGTGGGCAGTAGTAGGTGGCAGATGATGGTGGTGGTGCTAGTCGTCGCAGTGGCAATAGTAGTTGTGGTGGTTCTAGTAATAGCAGCAGTAGTAGTAGTAGTAGTAGTAGTAGTAGTAGTAGTAGTAGTCGTCGTCCTCGTCTTGGTAGTAATGGCAGCAGCTGTAGCAGTGCGGTGGTTGGGGAGGAGTAGCAGCAGCAACGGCGGCGGCCAAAATGATCAGATCGCAGAATTTTCTCAGGAACCATTCCTTACTGCATCTTGTGCGACAGAATATCTACAGGTTTGCCAAAAAAATCCATGATCGAGTGCAAATTCAAACAACCGGGAGCTCGGGGGCGGAGGCGGAGGAGGAGGAGGAGGAGGAGCGCTATGCGACTCGCTTTACAGAAGCACTGGGAATCGTGAAGGTCTTTCTTCCTCAGGGCGTCGAGCCATACGGCCCCATCGCACAGGGACAGCGCATCCTAGGTTCCGAACATCTGGAACGGTTTTGGTCAAGGCAATCTTTCTGCCTCAACTAACAACCATCCGTCGCGCAGCGGCACCTGGCTCGAGAAACACCCAGAAACCTCGAAGTTGAGGCCTGAGAATCTGGGAGCACCACCATCACCAACACAATCACCAAATCGCTAGCCTTTCGTCATCGTCGCCGTTGAAGCCTTTCGCGGCACCATTGCTATCGTCACCATCGTTATCTTACAAGTATGTCAGGTATGTGTAGTGCCTCCACGAACAAGGTCACAGACGTCAATAAAGGCTGATACTGCCAGAATGTTCGTTCAAATCCTGGGCTTCGAAGACTCGGATCTGCCTCCATATACTTCTCAAAACTCCACCACCCTTTGACCCAACGAACCCTGAACCCTAAATGCGCCGGGTAAACTTCTCGAAAGGAGTCAAAGCTCCCGGAGAAGGCCCGCCGTACCTCGTCCAGGTAATGTTGACCTAGGATTAATAATCCCCCTACGACTAAAGGCGGCCTGCGGGCGGCTCCGGCCCCAATCTGTACTACTTTAAAGGCAGCACCCAAATAAGGATCGTTTTTTGCAGAAAACCCCCCACGATTAAAGGCAACACCGTCTGGGGATCTAAAATTTCAAAAAGTGCTTCGAAGACTACTTTTAAAGGGGGCAAGACTACATTTAAAGGGCGTCTTGTCCTCTTTCAAGCTACTAAATACTACTAAATACTACTGAATATTACTGAATAAATACTATGAAATACTACTACTACTACTACTACGACGACGACTCCTCCTACTCCTACTCCTACTCCTACTGCTACTGCTACTGCTACTGCTACTGCTACTGCTACTGCTCTGCCACTGCTACTACTGCTGCAACTACGACTACTACTACTAGCACCAGTGTTTACTGCAATTTGGCTTCACGGGATTATTCGGGGGTCTGTGATCCTGTGGGGGGCCTGCGACCTTGACAACCTTGAGGGGGGGGGGGGGGGGGGGTTTATTAATCAGGGGTCAACATTACTCTCAATGCTTCATTGCTTACAGGTCAGAGTAGAAGGAGCCTCAAGCCTTGACTTTGAGCTCCGGGTGGGGGGTCGAACCCACTAATGACATGATCACAACATCAGTAAATAAACAACATTAGTATTACGGACAAGGTTAGACAGACATGTGCAACAGCCACTCGACCCGATGCATTCTGCGCCACTTGCGGTTTTATCACACCGCAGCAGTGGCGACAAGCGTGACACACCCAGTGGAGCGAAGAGGCTTTCCATGCAACTTCTTAATGGCATTCGCTTAGTTGTTCTTGCTGCTACAGCCAAACCCTGTACCTCGAAGGACCTCTCCTTTCTCAGCCTCCGGCCGCACCGCCGTCACCCAGCTCGCCTGACTCAGAATCCTAGCTGAACCGTCCGATCGGGGCCGTGTCGATGCCCTGTACACCAAAAGGTGTACCCACAACCAGAACCAAAAGTCTTGAACTGTTGCTTTGCACATCAGGTTTCTATCGCCTGTATGCAGCCTGTCGTCTGCACCACTCGTGAGTGGCGAGAACAGCATGACATGTACTCATGACAAGTCTCACAGTCTGGCGGCCCAAGTCTATGAAACAATGGTGGTCAAAACTACGAACGAAGCGTTCTGAATGCCAGCGTGTAGAAAGAAGCCTGAAAGTGATGATATTGCGCTGTAGAATACCAACATGTACCTAAACCCTAAACTATACTAATGATGAGTTCTAGAGCCATAAGACAAGGCCTTCAAACTCTAAGCCGCCTCGGAGACCCGTCAGAGCCAAGCGTGCACCAGGCGCAGCCGCTGCAGCCAGGGCCGGGACTAAGGCCACCAGCGGCCTCTTCTTATGGCTATTTATTATTTGTAGTAGACTCAACCTGGGCTTAGACTGAAAACTTTATGTGGGCTTAGTTTTGGGGTTGGAGTCGGCTTGCCGGAATCATGGCATGAGTTAAAGCTGCGTGAACATTTGGGGCCTTGGGACTCAGTCGTTCAATATCGCATCGGAGTGTTGCGGACTCTACGGAAGATGCATTTGGGCTTATGTTTGCGTAGCATGGAAACCATGGGGACTCAATGGATCCGTACATGAAGCTTCGCAGCAGGTAATCTGAAATACACTATGCATGACAGACGGTATAATATATTTGCTTCCAAGCGCGGAACTAATGAATATCTCTGACGATGTCGTGCAACATGCCGCCAGCGATTCAGGCGCCTGAAACGCTCACGGGCCTGCGCAAGATGTTCGCAACGACCACGTCGAAAGCACCAAACTCTTGCACAAGGGACTTGGCAAAGGCCTCCACCAAGGAATGATTGTTAATGTTGTTTACGGATTAAGATACCCCCCCAGATTAGACGGGGCCGTCCCGGGCATGTCATGGGCTTAATGAAGAAGTCCATTAGACCCCACCCCTATAGTATCGGAGCTCATTTAAACCCCCCCCGATTAGACGGGGCCATCCCCGAAATAAGGATTTAGGGGATTTAGAGGCTTATGACTTAACCCTAAACCCCAAACCCTGAAGCCTAAACCGTAAAGAACTCATGATGGCAGACTTTTCCTCATTAGACCAGCTCATGTCCGGGACCAGGGCTTTGCTTTGACCTAGAAAGCCCGAAGCTTTGAGATGGAAGGGTCAGAGATCCCTGGCCTTTGGATCCCTGGGATTTCCGTGATATCTTCTGCTGGCAGAAACAGGTGGTTCCCTAATTAAACCGTATATAAAAAGAGTAGGTTTGTCAAGTTTTCCAAGGCTGCCCCTTTGCAGGCCCCGACCCCCCCCGAATAGCAGGAAACCCCCCCCGATTAACAGGGTCCGGCCCGGGACCAGGGATTTGCAGGCCCTTTGCTTTGACCTAGAAAGCCCGAAGCTTTGAGATGGAAGGGTCAGAGATCCCTGGCCTTGGGATCCCTGGGATTTCGGTGATATCTTCTGCTGCCAGAAACAGGTGGTTCCCTAATTAAACCGTATATAAAAAGAGTAGGTTTGTCAAGTTTTCCAAGGCTACCCCTTTGCAGGCCCCGCCCCCCCCAGAATAGCAGGAAACCCCCCCCGATTAACAGGGTCCGGCCCGGGACCAGGGATTTGCAGGCCCTTGGCTTTGACCTAGAAAGCCCGAAGCTTTGAGATGGAAGGGTCAGAGATCCCTGGCCTTGGGATCTCTGGGATTTCGGTGATATCTTCTGCTGCCAGAAACAGGTGGTTCCCTAATTAAACCGTATTTAAAAAGAGTAGGTTTGTCAAGTTTTCCAAGGCTGCCCCTTTGCAGGCCCCGACCCCCCCCGAATAGCAGGAAACCCCCCCCGATTAACAGGGTCCGGCCCGGGACCAGGGATTTGCAGGCCCTTGGCTTTGACCTAGAAAGCCCGAAGCTTTGAGATGGAAGGGTCAGAGATCCCTGGCCTTGGGATCTGGGATTTCGGTGATATCTTCTGCTGCCAGAAACAGGTGGTTCCCTAATTAAACCGTATATAAAAAGAGTAGGTTTGTCAAGTTTTCCAAGGCTACCCCTTTGCAGGCCCCGACCCCCCCCAGAATAGCAGGAAACCCCCCCCGATTAACAGGGTCCGGCCCGGGACCAGGGATTTGCAGGCCCTTGGCTTTGACCTAGAAAGCCCGAAGCTTTGAGATGGAAGGGTCAGAGATCCCTGGCCTTGGGATCCCTGGGATTTCGGTGATATCTTTTGCTGGCAGAAACAGGTGGTGGCCGGCCACATTTGAACCCCCAACCCCCTCAACCCCCTCAAGTCCTTGAGCCCCTTCAAACCCCCAACCCCCTATTGTAATAATACTATACTACTGTACTGCTTCTATTACTAGACTTCAATACTACTACTAAACTACTGTACTACTACTATACTACTGTTCTACTATTATACTACTGTA